AGGGCCGTCGAGAGGTCCTAGCTCCCAGAACTATGTGGACAAGGTGGTGAGGAGCTTCAGGGGACTGCTTTGCTGAGCATGGCCCTGGGCGTGGGCATCACTGGCGGAGGCAGGGCGCATGCTCACAGCCCGCCCCAGGACCCCTGGATCAAAGGCTGTGCTTTAAGAAGCCCCATGAAGTGAGGTCTTGTCCCCAGCCCCACACAGCAGGCCTCCCAGGCTGCTGGGGAGAAGACGACGCAGGGCAGACACGCAGACGGAAGGCTGCCGCACCACGTTATCCTCTTCTACTTTATTACTTCAAATTAACAACCACAATAAAGCTCAAAAAAGTCCGATATTTACACAGGAAAAAAGTACAAAATTCCCCCCAAAGTTCTTCAGTATTTTTTTCAATTTTTTAAATTACAAAGTAATAAAAACCTTTGCTCTTTAATTAAAAAAAAAAAAGGAAAAAGGGGAAACAGAGGTAAATAAATTAGGAAATACACACACGGAGAAAACAAACAAAAATAAAATAAAATAAACAAAAACAGGTGTTAACTAGGAAGGATGGAAAATCCAACACTTAGCCCTGACCCCAGGCTCCTCCCCAGAAGGCAGGGCCCAGGGGAGGGGGACCCCAGGTGACTGTCAGGACCAGAGAAGTAGTTGATAACCCAGAGCAGGTGCTGGCTGGGAGTAGTCTCCACAGTCTCTGCCCCAGACCAGGCAGGAATGGAAGATGGGACCGCCACAGGCTGGCATTTGGGGACTGGTGGTGGCAAGGACCCGCTGTGCCCTGAGGGATGTGGAGGCCACTGTCCACCCCCACATCCCTTCCACGGGGATAACAAACTCAGCCTGGCAGGTGGGGACGGGGCATCACTGCTCTGGGACACAGGTCAAATACGCGCACGCACACATACACACAAGGCAATAGTGGCCACCACCTCACTCAAGGCTTCATGGAGAGACAAAGGAAGGACCCAAATGCTCAGGGGGATGCTGGAAAGTCCAGCACAGAAAGTTGGCCACTGTCATCTCAGAGGGACAGGGACTGTGCGCATCTCCTTGGTTCCAAGGCTCAGGGAGCCCGGTGGAACCCGCCTTTGACTGGCCGCCTTCGACTGGGCTCCCGGCGTCCCTGCTGGCTGCTCTCCCACACCGAGGGGCGCCCTCCCGGCAGGCGGATGGTGGTGGCAGGAACAGGTGGCTGAAGTGGGGCCTTGGCATCTGGCTGGTGTGAGCCGGTGTTGTCGGGGAGCATTTGGCAGCCTGAAGGCTGGGGACAGCGGGCAGTGCAAGGGGACACGGTCCTCAGTGCTAAGGGCATCCCATCTTTTTGCCGTTGGCAAAATAAATCAAAGAAACAAGATCCATCGTCGGTTTTGTGCTGGGTTTTTTCTTTTTGTTCATTTGAGTGGTTTTTTTTCCATCTTTTTGTTTTGTGTTTTTTTAAAGAAAATACAGTGAAGACACTAGAGGGGAAGAAAAAAGACGCATGAGGCGCCCCGCTGCCTCTGTTCCCCCACTTGCTGGACCCCTTCACCCTAATTTCTCGTCCCTGAGGCCACCCCTCTCAGGGCCCAGAGCTGGCGCAAGTCCAGCACACAGTAGGTACTCCATTTCCCTGGGAAAGGAGCAGACTCTGTCTCTGCCCATCTGTGGACAGACAGGCTCCTGGGCTAAGCTGGGCGTCCGAGGCAGGGAGCCCAGTCCCACGCCCCAGCTCCGTCTGTGGGCCAATTGCTCTGAGCGAATCATGCTCAGGGTGTTTTGGTAGAGGTCACGTCCATCCCCCATCTGGTGAACCACTGCACACGGGCCACTCACTGTCCCCAGGGAGCTCAGCTCTCCACCCTCCCCGGAGGACCACCCTCACTAGGCCAGGCCTAGTCACCACCCGGCTTCCTGCCAGGCAGCAGCAGCAGTCCCACCTCGGTGCACACTGGCCAACGGCCTCTCTCTGCTCGCCTGTGCTAGTCCTTCCTATGAGCTAACCTGTTTCACAGCCCGGAGGCCGGGGCAGGCCAAAGCCCTGTGGAAGGTCAGCGTGAACCAAGGTTCCAGAAAGTGTCAAGGACAGGGGTGGAGGGCTGATTTCCCGGAAGTCAACCCCCAGCCAAATGAGCCCTGAGCCCTGCTGGGAACCTGCAGGACTGGACATTTGCGCTCCCTCGAGGATCCTTGTTTTGGGGCTAGCAGGTGCCATCTGCCGTCCCCCCCACCCCAGGGCCATGTGCTTCTGGGCCTGGCTGTGCTGGCTGGCTTGGGGCAGGTCCCACTCACCTAAGCAAACACTGGTCCAGCGATGGCTCTCCTCACTTCCCGAGGTGGTCAAATGGCACGCTTGTCTTCGCAGGGGGTGGGGTAGGAGCAGAGAGAGGTGGGTGAGCTTCAAGGCCAGGACCTAAGTCTCCCTGCTGTGTAGCTCAGCCCCACCCCTGGTAAGCCCCGGGAATCAAGGGAAGGGGTGATCCCAGAGACCCTAGGAGGTCCTCGTTTGTAGACAGAGTTGGCAGGGGCAGGGCACAGAGACACACAATGTGACTGCTTTAGGCCACACCCAAGTCAGTGGGCCAAGGAGGGGTTCACTCTCAGGGACAAGTCCACTAAGGCTTCTCCTGCGTAGTCAGGATGGGGGCAGGGCTCCCACTCCCCTCCAGCTGGACACAGTCCCTCCCTCCGACCTCTCCTAGTCCAAATATGACCTTAAGAGAAGCTACCAGGGGCTGGGGCTATAGCTCAGTTGGTGGAGTGCTTGCCTTGCATGCACAAGGCCGTGGGTTCGATCCCCAGCACCAAAAAGAGAAGCCATCAGATAGAAGCTCACCTGTCCCTCTATCCCATGCTCTTGCCAAAGCTAGTGAGGACCACTGGGGGCTTCCTGATGGCAGAGGTTGTGACCACCTTGTCTTTGAGGCCCTGATGCCCACCAAGATGGGCACCCAGCAGCGAGGGTCAGACCCCAGAACTGCCACTTGCTGGGGCACATTGTTCTGAGCCTCAGTCTCTGGCTTTGCTCAGTGAGGGGGGCTAATGAACCTCAGGGAAGTAAAGAGGGCAAGTCCTAGCCCAGGCCAGGGATTTGCTCTGGGGTTACCCAAGTCAAGGGGAGAAGAGAGCAGAGCCAGAGGCCTGACCTGCACGGGGATCTCTGGCTCTGCCGTGGCCGCTTGCTAACCTGTGAGGCTGAAATCCGGGAGACCTCCTGTCGCCCAGTGAGGTCTGAGGACGAGACGTTGGCGGGCGCGCCCCTGTGCAGCCGCATGCTCACCTTCCTCTCCCGGTCCACCCGTGAGATCGCTCTGGGAGAAGTATTGCCTGGAGGGTGAGGGGGGAGCAGACCTCAGCTGGGGACAGAAGCAGGACCCCAGCCCTCTGGCCCATCCCGAAGCTCACAGCCCCAGGCCCTTACTAACCAGCTTGCTGGATGCGGGAGGCGGGGGTGGAGGCCACAGGCTCGGCAGCACTTCGGAGCCGGTTGGCAGTGGCCCCCGTGGGTGGGCCAGGGGGAAGGGCTCGGGTTGTGGACCCCCGCAGCTGCCCCATCCTCTCCTCGCGTTCGTGCTCTCTCCGCTCTCGGTCCACATCCTCGGGGTTCCGGGCTGCACCCTGCAGGGACGGGAGATGGCATGCTGGTCAGCCCCGAGACCTGGGTGCTCTGTGCCCAGCACCTTTGCAGGACAGAGGAGAAGCGAGTTGGGGGCATCTCACAAACCCTCTGGCCCAGCCTCCTTCCCAAAGTGGGAATCCTTGATCTCAGAGGCTTGGAAATGACCCTGAGTCACAGAGAGGAGAAATAGCCACGCAACACTCAGAGGAAGGACAGACAGCACTGAGAAGCAGGGGAGCTCAGGCTGCACTGGAGCCCAGAGGAGTGGCTAACACTCCACAGTGACCAAGGGCAACCCTTGGTCTCCCGACCTGGCCCCCTCCATTTACCAAGAGCCCTTGGCCCCTCAGGGTCTCCAAACCATGCAGGGAAGGAGTTCAGAGGCCCATCTAGCAGAAGGCAGGGAACATCAAGGGGACAGGAGTCGCAAGGCTCGGGGAAGGCAGGGCCAGGACTTGGCCAGGGGACCTGGGGCCCAGCCTTGAACTGCCTGCCGCAGGATGGGAGCTCAGGGGAGCAGGGAAGCAGCCGGGCTAGCTGCCCTGCGACAGACAAGGCTGGAGAAGGGTGCCCGGTGCCCCTCAGGGCCCTGCCCTCTAGCCACTGCTGTCCCCACAGGAGGAAGTGAAAGGTCCAGAGAGGAAGTGGTGCGGGAGCAGGGCCTGGCTGTGTTACCTAGTTGGTCCCGGGGCCGTCCACAGGGAAGGGCAGGGGGCTGGCGTGAGGGGGGCCGCATCTGTGGAGGAGAGAGCTGCGGGCTGAGCAGGGGACCTCACATGGGCTGGGGAATTAGCTGAGGGGCCCTGTGCCCTGGGGAAGTGGAGCAGACCTGCCTTTGGGCACCTCTGGAAGCAGCTGGGATCAGAATGATCTGGAGTCCTAGCAAGGAGCCAAGCCAGGCTAGTCCTAGCCCCACTGCTGGGCAGAGGTGCCCCGGGCCTTATCCTTGTCTGACCTGGCCACAAAGCCTCACGACCTGCCTGGGGTCACACAGCCACAACAGAGCTGGGGACCTAGTCCTACCATGCACCTCAAGAGGACTATTCAAGGCCTGACCCAGCAAAACACCCCTCACTCCTCCCACTAGAAGCCCACCAGGCAGGCCTAGGCCCACCAAGGCTCCACCCACTCAGCCCCAGGCTGGCACTGGGCAGGAGCCGCAGCACGGCTTGACTCCTATGACAGGGATGGCCTCACTCCCTCATGGGAACCAGGCTCAGGGAGGCTGAATGATGCGCTCGGGTGCCCGCCCAGCCCTGGAGCCAGCAGCTGAGTAGATGGAACCCACCTGCGGCTGCCCCACAGCTCAGGCCACCAGCAGTCCACGTGCAGGAGAAAGAGAACTACTTACTGCCCCGGCTGCTATCCAACCCAAACAACCCCTTAAGAAATGCGCACCAAGGAGCTTTTCTGGCCTTTATTTGCCCATAAGAAAACATAAAACTGTCAACATCCGAGCATCCGCCCCTGCTGCGTGGACGTCTGTCCTGGGCTGTGTGAAACTTCCTCCTGTCGGTGGCTTGTCCTGAGAACACGTGCCGACTGCATCCCAGGGTTCAGGTGTCCAGGAATTCCAATGCCCTCATGCCGAGGAACACAGATAGGCTCCTCCAAGGTCAAGGTCAAGATCATGGGAGAGTCACTGCCCATGGTGCCCAGCATGGAGTCCTGCCAGCTGGTATGGCTTCCTGCAAGGTATGTGTGGGGGTCTTGGTCTTGGGGGAAGGCTGTGGATGGTCCCCACTGCACATCATGTGGCTGCTCCTGCCTGGGGCTCACGCGGAGGTGATGTTGCAGACGTCGGTGATGGATGAGACTATCAGTGGCCCTGCCTAGCTTCGGACTCCAGAACCTGACTCAAAGGGGACCCCAGGAATGGAGTCAGAGTGCCAGCAAGGGGGAGGAGTGCCTGGCCCAGCTTGAGAAGACATCTTCTTGCTGGTCAGTCCCACAAGGGGAACTGTCAAGGAGCCATCTAGAACAGCGTTGTCCACAGAACTTCCCAGGACGACAGAGATGCTCACATCTGTCTCATTGGATGCAGCAGACACTATCTCGTGGCTCCCAAGAGCTTGGAATGTGGCGAATGTGACCGAGGAACTGCATTTTCCATTTTGATTAACTCTAATTAAACTCTCCATGTAACCAGCAGTTACGGAAGTGGACGTCACAGTCCAAGAGAATGCAAAGCCCTTTCTTAGAGCTGGGCTGAGCCAAAGAACTAAGTCCATCACAGAACCAGACTCGGGGACAACTTCCTATAGGGCAAGGGTCTGGTGTCCGAGGCCCTGAAACGCACTGCAGGAGGAAGGGGTGCCTGGGTGCCCAGGCACTCAGTCATGCTCTAAGCTGGAAGGAACTCAATGCCCATCTCCCTCTCTGCCCTCACAGAGGAGGGCAACACAGCCTTCTCCTCAAAGCCCTGACCTGCGAGATGGCCATCTTCTGCCTGGGACCCAAGAAGAAGAGAAACCCAGGACCAACACGCCAACCTCAGCATTCAGAAGGACCCGGCCTTGGCCCTTGGCATCTGGTGGAGCACCGAGGGACACGATGTAAAAGAAGCAAACCAGGACGAAGGCAGGAGACATTTAATGAGCTCAGTTTCGACACAGAGGCCACCCACGGGGCCTGGTCCTGGTCCTGGTCCAGGGCCTAACAGGCCCCAGGCAGGGCCACAGTTTTCTTCGGGCTCGTCCTGGCCTCAGGCAGCTGGTTCATTCCTGAGGATCCCAAGTAGGGCCTTTTCCAATACTCTCCACCACAGGGCCACCTCAGGAATGGGTGCCCCCACCATCCCAAGGGACATTTCCTCATGCCTGGCCCTATCAGGCTCAGGCACACTGGTGATGTCAGAACTGGGGCCCTGGAGTCCAGACCACAGGCCAGTAGTTTTGAGGGGGCATCTCCTCCACAGGCCTATCTGGGGGGCCTTGGGTGCCCAGGATCGCCGGGCACCTGGAAGGGACAGAGAGGGCACAGCTGAGTCCAACCTTGGTGCTGGCTGGCCAAGTGGCAACTCTTGGAAGGGCCAGGCCTTGGAGGTCCTTACCAGTATGTGGATGGATACGGGGGCCCGGCATAGGGCCAGGGGCGGGGGCGGGGTGCTGCAATAGCTTCGCTGTCCCGGGGCTGAGCCTGGCTCGAAGAAGCCCCCTTTTCCAGAAGAGATGTGAAACAAGACACACGATTTCACGGACTCCAGAGCTCCAGGCACGGCTGGCGACCACTTCTCCCCACCCCACCCCCAGGACCCTTAAAAGAGGGAGACAGAACAACTGCCTAGCAAGACCCAGGGTCCCATGACCAGGAAGAGAGAAGCCACTCTGAATGGGTCCAGGCTGGCTAGGGGGGCCTCGGTGAAGGCGGTCACCCAGGACGTGCAGAACAAGAGGAGCAAGATGGAGCAGGCCGCAAGGAGGGCAGCGGGAGGGCCCAGCAGAGCCGTCCACGCCCTGCCCCGGGCCCCCAGGACAGTCTGGAGGCTGAGCCAGGTCCTCCTAAGCCTGCCCACGCCCTGCCCACTGTGGCAGCACATGCCGTCCACACTGATGTGGCTGGATAGGGGTGGCTCTGGGACCCTGGCGAGGTCACTTGTGCTGTCCAGCTCATAACTCCCATCTGTAGGGAGCCCTGCCCCCCACCAGGCCATTCTGGCCTTATGAGGCAAGGCCTTCCCCATCCAGTCCCCCAAGCCCGCCTTGGCCTCCGGGTGACTCACGAATTTGAGCATGTTCCAGTCGAAGACGTAGTCGTAGGAAAAGCCCTGCCGGTGGAAGAGGTTGCGGAAGAGCTGGCGCAGGTAGGAGTAGTCGGGCTTGTCGTCGAACCGCAGGGAGCGGCAGAAGTTGAGGTATGTGGAGAACTCGGCTGGGGGGTGACAGGGAACAGAGGAGGTCACTGTGAGGCCCGCGCTCCCAGGTCCCCGGCAGCCACCATTGCCCAAGCCACCCACTGTCCCTCTCAACAGTTTCAACCTAAGAGGGGGCAGGATGAGAACAGAACCACAGGCCTCCCTATGCTACTACTGCTCGCGCCCCGTGAGCACAGCCTCTTCTCGGAGCTGCTCCGGGGACTGTGGCCCACAGCAGCCACAGCTCAAAGGGCGGCCAAGGGCTCTGTAGTGGACACACTCCCAACACGATCTAAGCAACAGCAGGCAAACAGCCACTTCCTCCTCTAACAACTTGGGCCAGGAGAGGGCTCTAGATGGCGAGGCACGAGTGTGGAAGGGGACACCCAGTCTGCGACATCAGGCTGGGGCTCCAGGCCTCCTACATGCCGTGCAGCCGCAGAGCCCCCGGGTAGTCCTCTTGCGCCCGTCCTCCCCACCTGGTACTCACAGGGGTAGCCTTTGCAGAGGACCTCAATGGGCGTTGACATCTTCTTCTCGCTGATCCGCTCATACTTCTGGCGCTTGGTGGCTGCTTTGAGACCCTGCCAGGGCAGGGAGCCCAGGTTGAAGTACATGAGCACGTAGCCCAGACTCTCCAGGTCATCGCGACGGCTTTGCTCTGCAGAGTCAGAGGCAAGGTGAGGGGCAGGGTCCACACAGGCCCCGAGCTCCTCCTCAGGTCGCATTCTTTACTGCATATCTGGCAGCAGACGGCCATCTCCAGCGCCCGAGGCAGCACCTTCCCACCTCAGTCTGGGTCCAGCTTTTCGACTCAGGGGTTATTTCATTCAGCAACTATGAGTGGGCACCCGCCACCTGCCCACCCCACAGAAGCAGCACAAGCTGTGGCACGAGGCGGGCCGAGGTCAAATCCAGTCCCAGCACTCACGAGGCTGTGTGCCCTGGAGCAGCCCATGTTAAACTGGCCCGAGCTTCCCAGAGGAACAGTTGGGGAGCATGGCCCCCCCACTCAGTGGGGTTGCCAGGAGGACAAGGCCGGGCATGAAGGGGTGGCCAGCACACACAACTCTACTTATGAAGGGAAGATGTGGACGCTGGGTCCCGGCCTTAGGGCAGACTCAGATAGAGACGCTCAGTGGGCCAACCAGGAAAAGTACCCGGGGGCCTCCGACTGAGGTGGGGGGAGGCAGGCGGCCCGCGGCCCAAGGCGCCCTTGTCCGGGAGCTCACTCACCGATGCCCAGGTGCGTGTTGATGGAGGCGTAGCGGGCCGTGCCAGTCAGGTTCTTGTTTTCCCGGTAGGGGATGTGCTGGTGGGTGCGGGCATCCCGGTACTTCTTGGCCAGGCCAAAGTCAATGATGTACACCAAGTTGCCTTTCTTCCCCAGGCCCATGAGGAAGTTGTCGGGCTTGACGTCGCGGTGGATGAAGTTCTTGGAGTGGATGTACTCGATGCGGCTGATCTGGGGGGTTAGCCGGCAGGGTCAGTGGAGGGGCCGCTGCCACATGCCTCGGGCCAGGCCCCAGAAGAGCAAAGATGGCAAATGCACCCAGGGTCCCTGCCCTGGCCAGGGAGAAAGGTTTGTCCCCAACTATGAAGGATGGCTTCAAGGTGCAGGCCAAGGAAGGCTACCGGGAGACAGTGACACCAGGATGAGCTCTGATGTCGTGGCAGGGAGTGGGAGCCAGAAGGAAAGGTAAGGGCGAGACCCAGGAAGGAGGGTGCGGGGGAAGGACCGTGGGCCACCATAGTGGGCTGCCGCCAAGGGGCCCAGAGGCAAGCAACTGGGGGAGGGGCAGGTGGGAGCACCGAGGAGGCCTAAACCAGGCAGAGGCGCGAGATGGCGCACCCAAGTCCTGACTCCACTTGGCTTCCAAAGGACACCAGAGTCAGGGTGTGACTTTTTTTGGGGGGTGGGGGTACTGGCAATTTAACCCAGGGATAGTTTACCACAGAGCCACACCCTTGGCCCTTTTTATTTTATATTTTTGGTGGTGCTGGGGATTGAACCCAGGGCCTTATGCATGCAAGACAAGCACTCTACCAGCTGAGCTGTATCCCCACAGCCCTATTTTTTTTTTTTTTAAATGTTGATGGACCTTTATTTTATCCATTTGTTTATATGCGGTTCTGAGGATCAAACCCAGTGCCTCGCACATGCTGGGCAAGTGCTCTCCCGCTGAGCCACAACCCCAGCGCCCCCAGCCCTATTTTTTATTTTGAGACACAGTCTCACTAAGTTGCTTAGGGACTTGCTAGTTGCTGAGGATGGCCCTGAACTTGTGATCCTCCTGTCTCAAGCCCCCTGAGCTGCTGGGATTATAGGTGTGTGCCCCCATATCTGGCCCTTTAAGAATTTCCAAAAACTCAAATTAAGATCCACGCACAGGACAGGTCCTCTGGCATGTCATGCCCAGCTCTGGGCCTCCGGCATGACAAAATATCTCCAGGAGCTTTACTGAATTTCACCCTGTGAGAATCTCACGATCCTCCTCTGCGCACCCACAGCCTAAAATTGGAGTGTGCTTGCGACAAGACAAGATCTGCATGGTCCCCACTAGGTTCAAAGTTCGATTCTTTCCTCCCAGTACTGGGGACTGAACTCAGGGGCTTACACATGCTAAACCACATGCTACACTGACTTTCACCCCCAGCCTTTTTCGATTTTTTGGAGACAGGGTCTTGCTTGCTAAGTTGCCCACATTGGTCTTGACTTGTAATCCTCCTGCCTCTGCCTCCTGAGTAGCTGGCTATGCATTTTATATTTTTAAAAAGCTCTCCTCTGAATGGAAAGGGCCTAAGGATCTACACCTTCTCTGGCCTAGGCACTGTGTGGCTTCCCACTTAATCCCAGCACCCCAGGGAGGGGGAGACTGAGAGCAGGTGACGGAGGCTCAGAGGGGCTCAGCAATTCACCTCGGGTTCCCACACCGGGATAGGACACAACCTGTGTGATCACCACAGGGCAGAACCGAGGGCCCTCCCCAGACCCTGACCTGGCAGCCTGGTGCCTGGAATCTGCATTTAAACAAATGTCCAGGACGCTGAGGCCAGCAGTTAAGGTTCCTGGCCCAGGAAACAGGTCTGTCTTGTCCCTGTCCCTGCCCCCTCCCCTACTTTCCTCTGGAGGCAGGATGCAGGGTTAGTATCCATGGCCACTAGCAAGATGGGGAAGTGGACGCTGCAGGGCAGCTGGGCAGGCCACCTTGACAGTGTGCAGCAGGACTCACCATCTGGTCCGCCAGGAGCAGCACCGTCTTGAGGCTGAACTTGCGGGAGCAGAAGTTGAAGAGGTCCTCCAGGCTGGGCCCCAGCAGTTCCATGACCATCACGTTGTAGTCGCCCTCCGCCCCGCACCACTTGATGGACGGGATCCCCACTGGGGCGGGGCGACAGGGCTGTCAGGGCGGTCCCTCCCCACCCGAGCCACCGGCCCACAGCAGCCCTCGCCTCACCTCCTCCCTGCATCATCTTGTAGAACTTGCTCTCGATGTGCAGCTGTGGGTGCTTCGTCTTCACACACTCCAGCTTGATGGCCACCTCTTCACCAGAGGCGATGTTGGCACCTGCCCAGGGTGGAGGGGCAAAGGCCCAGGTGACTCCCAGCCAGCTAGGTGGTTGCCATCCAGCATTTGAGGCTGCTGTGGCTCAGGTGTGGGGCCAACTGGGCATCTGCCTCTCAGGGACAGAGAGGTGGCCAGGAGGCTTCCCGAGGGAGAGTGAGCAGTACCATGTGCCACGGGAGGAGGCAAGACGCCCCCAACTGCTCAGAGAACCCCAGGTCAGGGCTGCGAGAGGGCCCGATGGGGGAGGGGACACACAAATGGTGCCCAGACCACAGAAGGGGTGGCACTTAACCCCAGAGACAGGCCGGCCAGTTGGGTGTGGCGGGCTGAGGTGTACGTGGAGGGACCAGAAGCCCAGAGGGATGGGCACTGTGCCCCCCCTGACACCCTGAGCTGCAGAAGGTACTGACCAGCACCTGCCTGCCCACCAAAGCTGCCCCCCTCAAAGGTAGCCCACACGTTCTGTCCCAGGACGTCCCCTCCTCTATTATCGGAGTATCATTCCCCCTGCACAGACGAGAAGGCTGAGAGCCACTCAAGGTCACTCAAGCCACTCAAGGCTGGCAATTGGGGGACTGGGGAGCAAAACCTAAGTGGGCGCGGTAGCACCTGCCTGCATTCCCTTGGGAGGCTGAGGCAGGAGAATCACAAGTTCAAGACCAGCCTGGGCTTAGCAGGCTCTTAGTTTAGTTTAGCAGACTGGCTCATTCAGTAAGACGCTGCCTCTACACTTATGAAATAATAAATATATAAGGGGCTGGGGTCAACCCCCAGCTCTGCTGGCTTTGGCGTCTAGGTGTAGACAGGGTCCTGCCTGCAACCCCTGTGTCCCCTTCTTACTGCAGCCTTGAGGGGTATGCATGGCCTAAGAAACACCCTAAACACACCAAGGCCTAGCTCGCAGCCTGGGCCCGCCCCAGGGCTCCAGAAGCCACCAGAAAGACCAAATCCAGATAGAGCCTTGCCTCAGTGTCTCCAGCTGCAATGGAGGCTGAGCTGCAGTGGAGGCTGAGCTGCAGTGGAGGCTGAGCTGCAGGGCTGGGGCCACCTGCAGGGCAGCGAGTTCCCCTCAAGGGCCAGCAGCGCCTCCAGCTCCAAACACCAGAGCAGAGTCACACCGGCACCCAACAGGAAGCCAGGGAACAAATACAGAACATCCCATGGGGCAGGATACCATCGGCACCTCAAACCAGGGGAAAGCATGGGACCAGACAAGGAACACCCTGGCCCACGGCGGATACCACAACCAGGGGGTCCAAGTGCAGCGAAAGGGTCCACGAGGAAGGGGATGAAAAAAGTACAACCACTGTGCACACACCCAGGAGAGGAAGCAGTCACCCTCGACCAGCAGCCCCACTCCTGAGCACAAGCCCTAGGGGACATCTGGGGAAAGGACAAGGATGTACACTGGAACCAACAGCCCTGATGCCTGGCAGCTGAGTCGCTGACAGCAATGTGGTCACATAAGGAGTCCCAGAGATGGTGATACTTTTAACCCGGCAATCAGGCCACTCCCGGCTCCTCAACACTGGGCTAAAGACAGCAGGCCAGAGCAGCCACCACAATAGCCAAACAGTGGAAATGACCCAATGGCCCAGAGCCGATGAATGGAGACAGAGAGTGGTCCATATACATGCGGAATATTATTCAGCCATGAAAAGGAGCGGAGTACTGGTAACACATACCTCAACACAGGTGAACCTTGAAAGAAAACATTCTGCCCAGCCAAAGAAGCCGTACACAAAAGAAAATGTGGTTCTATTATATTATATTCATTATATAAAATGTCCATATCCATAGAGATGAAAACAGATTAGTAGACACCAGGGTGGGGAGTGGCTGCTTAACAGGCATGGGGATTTCTTCTGGGACGTGCTTTGAGACTAGATGGGGTGGTGGCTGCACAATGTTTTAGTAAACCACTGTACCGCACATTTATTTATTTGGTACTGGGGATTGAACTGGGGGTGTTCTACCACTGAACCACATCCCCAACCCTTTGTTATTTTGAGACAGGGTCTAAGTTGCTAAAGCTGGCCTCAAACTTGCAATCCTCCTGCCTCAGCCTCCCGGCTGCTGGGATTACAGGCATGTGCCATCTTGCCTGGCTTGAACTGTACACTTTAAAATGCCTGATCTTATGCTATGTGGATTTCACCTCAATTTTTAAAAGAGGAGGAAAAGCAAGTGACAGATGAAAGTACAGTTCTATTTGTCTCAATTTCAAAGCTCTGTAAAGATATAGTTTAAGGATACAAACGTGATAAAACCTCAATGAAAGGGAATAATTTAAAATGTCAACTAGTGGTTATCTCTGTGAGGTGAGGCAGATGACAGGACAGGCAGGGGTACTGAGGGGCCTTGAAAGGGACAAGAATGGCCTCCTCTTTCAACTGCACAGTTCCCAGGGAAGGGTCCCATATGACCTTAGGGTTAGGCAGGGCTTAAAAAGACCCCCCGTATGGCAGAGATGCCAGACGTGGTACAGTGCCCGGGGTTTAATCCCCAGCACCGCCCCAAACAACTGCAAACCCACCAGAAATGAAGCAGAAAGAAAAACTACTCAATTCTTATCACAGACAAAAAGCTGACAGCTAACAGACTCCTACAAACCAGTAGGAAATAGAAGCAGGAAATAGGGCAAAGACGGTGAAGCGCCTTCCCAGAGGAAGACCAACTACGAAGGGCTCGCTCAGCAAAGGCCTCGATTTCTCTTAAGAGAAATGCAAACTCCAGTGACCCCCAAAGACCAGTTCTCAGCTAGGACCATCAAAGGTCCTCAGTGAGATAGGGCAGGTTTGCTGGCAAGGCTCGCAACAGGTGGCTCCTCCCCAGGTGGCCAGCGTGAGACAGTCCAGCAGCACCTGCACATCTGAGGGTTCAGCCAACACCGACCCCCCTGCACTGTGCAAGCCGAGGCCTGGACAAGGCTGTCTGCTGCAGGCTGTTTGCAGCAGCAAAAGCTTGGAAATGACCCAAATGTCCATCACTGGGGAACTGGTTAGAGAAAGAATAGCCCATCCACAGGCCAGAACACAATGGAGGGAGAATGAGGAGGCTCTCTGTGCAGGAGAGGAAGATCTCCAAGGCAGGAAGCGAAGGGCCAAGGACTGAACCACACTGTCCTCTCCTTCCAGCTGCGGGGCAAGCTGGGGAAGCGGCATCTGCCTTTGGTTGTATCCACACAGAGCACTGCAGACAAGAAACAGGAGGAAGCAGCCAGGCGACCAGGGCGCTCGCTGGATACTTTGTTAAATGCAACTCCTCCACCAGGAACTGTAACCGCACAGGGTAACAACGCACCCCTCCAACTGGCCAACTCCCCGGTTTCTGGTATATTCCCAAGGATGTACGAGCAAGGGTAGAATGTTTCCATCACCCCCAAGACATGGGTACCCTTTAGAACCCTCCTCAGCCTCTGTCCCTGGCCACCACTAATCTACTTTGTCTCTGGATTTGCCTGTTCTGGACATTTCACAAAAACAGAATCATATATGATCATTTGTTGACCTTCTTGAACCCAGGTGTACTTAACCACTGAGCAACATCCCCAGCCCTGTTTTGTGTTTTATTTAGAGACAGGATCTCATTGAGTTGCTTAGGGCCTCGCCATCGCTGAGGCTGGCTTTGAACTCCCGATCCTCCTGCCTCAGCAAGCTGCTGGGATTACAGGCATGCGCCACGGCACCCAGCTGTGTATTTTATTTTGAGACAGGGTCTCATCAAGTTGCTTAGGGCCTCATTAAATTGCTGAGGCTGGCTTTGAACTTGCCATCCTCCTGCCTCAGCCTCCTGAGCTGTATGATCTGATTCTTTTACTTAACAGTTTAGTGTTTGGATGTTAGTTCTATAGATATATATTCTGATTTCTGAGCCACACAAATTAAGAAGAGGTGACTAAGCCCAGTGAGCAATGGGAGAAAGCAAGTGCAAACTGTAAAGTGCTTCTGACACATTGGCATTCACTGCTTGGTAGAGTCCACAGGTCTCAGGGTACAGTGAAGACGTGGCACGGGAGGGGAGCCAGGGCATCCTCGATCCGCTGCCCTGCCCCTTCTCACCACAGGTTCACGAGGCAGCAGAACGCAGCAGGTACTCTCCATGCCAAGCCGCTGACCCTCCTAGCCAAGGCCTGGGTGAGTCACCTCGCACTCTGTGCCCAGGTGCCTCACCTGCTATGCTCCTGGGCTGCCCCAGGCACAGAGCTCAGCAGTGGGCTCTGGCACGCACAGGCATAGCTCTACCAATGTGAAGGCTGCCAAGGAGGGGGTGAGGGCGGCCCTAGGGAGCAAAGGCGCTCCTCCCCGGGCAGCCGAGGGCTCCCAGCACAGGAGCAGGACTGAGCCAGGCACAGAGGTCATGGCACAGGCACAGGCCAGCGGGGGGCATGCAGCCAACTCTGGTACAGCAGGACCCCAGACATTGAAGGAGGGTGGAAAACGAGGGCAGCGCCGGGATCTGAAGGCCTCGAGAGGCCAGATGAGAGTGCGGCCTTCCCTGAGGGCTCCAGCCAGGCACGAGGTCTGGGATCTCACCGATACTGACACTTGAGGCCAGAGAAGCCCTTGTGTGGGAGCTCCTTGTCGGGTGTTGGCAGTGCCCTGACCTCTACCCACCTCCTCCCAAGCTGTAGTAACTAACAGTGTTCCAAGACCTTGCCAGATGTCCCATGGGGGGAAAAAGTCAGCACCAAGATTTACTGGTGTACCAGAAAGGGCTGGAGGGGACCCGAGGGGGTCAGGAGACCCAGGAGGTGGCCACTGCAGCTGTCCAGGCAGGAGCTGCTGGTGGCCTTGCCCAGGCAGGGTGCAGATGTGGATGATGCCCGAGGCAGGGCCTTGGCCACAGAGAACTGCAGCAGCTGCATGTGGGCGGGGTGTGTGGGGGAGGGTGGCACACAGGAGGGGCACTTCATCCCCCGAGCCCTGGCGCCGTCCTGCTAGAACTACTGCTTACATCTCTATCTGACATAATGAAAACCTCAAACTCCAAAGGTCGAGTGACCATATGCCACACAACTTACCAAGGACAGGGACTCAAGCTGTTGGGCAAAGCCTCTGGCCCCCAGAGTGCTGGAAACCTTCTGTCGCAGTGTTCTCCCCGACTGCCAGCCCTCTGGTGCCTCAGATCCCACTGAGGCTGCCAGATCGTCCTCCTTTCTCACAGCCACTAGGCTGAGCAGCAGAGAGGGAAAGTGCCTGGCCCATGAGGGACAGGACCCCCTGGGGCAGAGCAGGGCTTGAAGTAATGCTCCCAAGGCCCCTGCTCTCTCTCCATTCCACTTCCCTGTCATCCGGCTCACCCAATTCCAAACAGGTACTGAGCCCTGACCAGGAGCCCAGGCCCATGCAGGAGCTCTGCTCACCCTCGGCCGATGCAGTAAAGCATAACTGGCGAGAACCGCGCGGGGCGGGGCCCATGGAGGCAGATGGCCGCAGCTTCCTGGCAGACGCTGCGTTGGGAGGTGAATGGTCTAGGAATGGTGGAGGGGGCCTAGGTGGAAAGGCTTGGAAGCCAGAGAAATGGCCCCATTTCAAGTGCAGAATGTGGCCCATTGGTTATATAGCAGCCACATGGGGGGCCTGGTGGGGACAGGAGTAACCAGCCTCACATGGGGCTCACAACAGACGCCATAGGGACCCATGGGGTGCAGGGAGGGGTTGAACCCACCTGCCCAGCAACAGCAGCAACCTTTGCACCGAGTGTCAGAGCCTGGAGTGTCCCCCTTGACAACCAGGGACCCCCATAACCACCTGAAGAGCTGAGGACAGGGATTCCTTTTTGTGTGTGCATGCAGGGGGACTGGGGACTGAAACCAGGGCACTCTACACTGAGTGACATCTCCAGTCCTTTTAAAAACATTTATGAGGCAGGGGCTCACTATGTTGCCCAGGCAGGCTTCAAACCTGTGATCCTCCTTTCTCAGTCTCTCAGGTCACGGGGACTGCAGGCATATGCCACCACACCAGGCTAGGGCAGCGTTTCTAAGCAGTCTAGAGAGTTGCCCAAGATGCACAGTCAGTGGGCAGGCCCAGGGCAAGCCGCCTCTGGACCTTGTGCAGTCAACTTGAGCCCCTTAACAAAGTGGGCGCACTCTCCTGGCCATCCCTCAGCAACAAGGGCTGGGAGCCCTGGAGAGCAGCTGTGGGGCTCGCAGTCGCACCCCTAATGAGGCCATCAGTGTTTGATCCTGGAAAGCAGCTTGGAAGCCGTGTCCAGCCCCACCTACAGAGGCCATCTGGAGTCAGGCCCTGGCCTGGGCACTGGTAATGAGACAGTGGCCAGAGCTCTGAACAAAGAGAGCCAGCAAGGCCGGCCGGGGGGACCCACAATCCCTGCTGTCTCCAGGCCAGGAGGACACCGGCCTAGGGTGGTGCCAACGGGAGGGCACCTCAGGGCAGAGCCCCCACACCCTCGAACCACTGGAGTCTGGATGGTGGTGCAAACTGACTCCCTGACCCCCAGGCCCAAGAGGACCCAGATCCTCGGAGAGCAACGACTCCCAACTCAGCCCAGGGGCGGGACATGATGTGGAACCTGCTGGGCTCAGCAAGCAGGTGCTTTCCACGCCAGGTCCTCAAACTCCTCACAACCCCACCTCCACCCTGAGAAGCCCGTCGGGTGCAGTGGCACAGCCTGCCATCCCAGGACTCTGGAGGCTAAGGCAGGAGGATTCCAAGTGAGAGGCAACTTAGTGAGACCCGGTCTCAAAATTTTAAAAAGGGCGAGGGATATAGCTGGGTGGTAGGAACACCCCTGGTCCACTACCCAGGGCTGCAGACAGAGAAAGGAAAGTTAAGAAAACCGACTGCCGCCGTAGAACTGTCATCTACACACAACTTTAAAAAAAATGGAGAAGTCAAGGTTGGCAGAAGTCACCCCTCGCTCAGGGTGTACAGCTAGAAAAGGAAACACCGATATCCAAACCCAGGCCAAACGTACTCCACAGCTGGCAGAAGAGGGGTGAATCTGGACGTTTTTACAATAAATGAGATGACTGTGGAGAAACGGAAAGCCCTGCCTTCAGGGAGACGGTGGCTTTTCTCAGTGATCTGGGGAGGCCCCTCCCTCCAGAGGTTCCCACTTCCGTCTGCAGAAAGAGGGCCTGAAGGGTGCTGCCTAGGAGCGGGTGCCTGCTGTGCCAAGAGCCAAGTCTGCGCCCTGCAGTCCCGAGCCCAAGGCTCAGTGGTGAGAACGTCCTTTCCCCCACCTGTACATCTTCCAAAACAGGTGATGGGGACCTCCACCACACAGACAAGACTGCAGCTCAGAGAAAGTATCTTATCCCAGATCACACAGCAAACCAGGAAAAGACTGGGACCCAAAGCTGGTGCAGTCCCCAAATCCCAGGCTTTTCCAATCCTGCCATGAAGCTCTTGCACACCCTGGTCCCTGGTTTAGCACTTGTCCACTTGACAGTCACTGGACACCCACTGGGGCAAGCCACACGCCAGGCCCAGGAGAGAGTGGGCAAACTCGACACTATGCTTGCCTCCCAGGAGCTCAGAGATGCAGCAAAACCTTGATTTAAGTAAGTTTTGAGACAGGGTCTCACTACGTTGCCCAGGAAAACCTTGAATCCCTGGGCTCGAGTGTGGCTCCCACCTGGCCTCCCAAGGACTGGGACTGTGCACCACTGCGCGAGCTGGAGAAGATCTTTAAACCGGCTGCAGCCACACAGGCCTGCTTCCTGTTCTGAACCCCAGCACTGTGGGACGCGACCTGCCAAGCACCGGGCGGGGAGCTGCCCACAAGGCCAGCACTCCATGGCCCACAGGGCGCTTTCCCATGGTCACTTCACCTCTACCTCCAACAGCACTTGGCTAGCTGGGCTAACTTTACAGATGGGGACCCTGAGATCACAGGACAGCCACACAAACTGAGGCCTAGAACACAGGACTGCCTGTCTTCGGCACCCACTCAGGACCGTGTGGTGTAAAGGCCACCTTCTCCAGTTTCCTGGGGCAACCTTGGGTGGTCACCCTGACTATGCTGTGCCTCATCTTCACCAGCAGCATCTCCAGGGGCTCCATGAGGGAGGTAACGTTGGAAAGGACATCCAGGTAAGTGTTCATAGACCTCGTGTGCCGTGCCCCGCCCCACACCTGAGAGCCCCAGCCCCCCTGGGCAGCAGATCTCCTCTGTGGGGACAGGGCCCTGACCGCTGGTGAAGAGGAACCCTCAAGGTCTGAGTTGGTGCACAGGCACATTGACGGGTCGCATTTCCTGCCCAGGACAGAACCAACTCATTTTCATTTCCCAAGCAGAGAAGCAGATGTGGCCCGGTTCTGCTTACCAGGGCACAGGGACAGGATGGAGGATAAACCCCAGGGGAGCTTGCCACCTTGCTCTGTAACCCCAAGCCCATCATCAAGGAACAACCAGCTTCAGACCAACACTCAGAGGCAGGGCTGCAACCCGACCCTGGGAGCAGCGCCCCCAGCAGGTTGAGAAGGCAGCACTCAATGGCACAAGCACCACTTCTCCCAGGCCAGAGAGGGCTGAGATGTCAATGATTTGTTTAAAATGACAACATTGACCAAACTCAGATTTAACAGGAAGCACATCCGGAGGGAGAACTCCCTGGAGGAGGAGGACCCCCCCACCCCCGGGTCATTCCAAAGCCTGTGTGGGCTGCATTCCAGAAGGCCAACCACAGAGACAGCCTTGCTGGGGCCAGGTGGTAGCCTAGGCTTTCTCCCTACCATCACCCTTCTTCCAGGACAGAGGACACGGGATGCCAACCCAGCCTGGGCTTTCCCAGGCCCAGATGGAGACCCAGGTCAGCTGCAGCTGGAAATTGCAGCTAAAAATATCCTCCTCTGCCCAGCACAGCAAGTGGGAGCCCCGCCCTGCCAGACGGGGTTCCAGATAGAGCCAGGATCCCCCGGCTGCCTCCCTCCACCTGAGGCTTCCTTCTCCCCCTGGGATGCTCCTAGAGGCAAGACCAGCCACTGGAGCACAGTTCTGGCTTCAGATCCTGAAATCCTGGGATCTTTTCTCCTCCTCATCCCCAGGACCATCTCAGGGCTCCAACTGGGCCAGGCAGACTTACCCAGGTAGATGTCTCCAAAGGACCCACTCCCGATCTTTCGTCCCAGGCGGTACTTGTTTCCCACGCGTAGCTCCATGATTCACTCTCGCTGCAGAGAGAAGCAGAACTCGGGTCAGAGAAGTGGGAGCTGGGAAGGGGCCTCACCCACCCCTCCCCACCAAAGGCCAGGCAAAGCCACAAGAGACCAACCATCTCCCTCCCACTACCCAGGAAGCAATTTGACCTCACTTTGCTTGAGGGCAACCAGGTGTCAGGTAGCCCAGCAGCCACACCCACACATCTGGGAGCAGCCTCAGCAGGTCCTGCACAAGACACTAGAGAAAACAGCCCCCTTTAGGCCCAACCTCTAACCCACCCCCAAGCCTGGCCAGTTCCCAGTGTGTTTTGAGGGAGGGGGCCTGATCCACACTGGGGGAGAGGCAGGACAAGGACCTGCCAACCACCACGTCCTCCACTCCTGACACCAAGAGCCTTTCACAGCCCTCTGCCTGCATCTCTTTGGAAAGACTGTCTGGGGCTGACTTTTTTCAAGATTAGGAGAGCTTCTCCCTCGGAACTGGCCCTGGGCTGGGGCAACCCAAGCCAGTTTTAAGTGTCCAGTCCCTGTGGGACTAGAGTCATTCTGATTTGAGAAGCTCCCCTTCCTTCTGCTATTCATCTAGGTACCCCAAGCCCACCAACAACAGGGACCTCTAAGCCACCCTGGCAGGGATCTCTGTACTGGTCTGGGGCAGAGGTCTGGGCACCTGTGCTCCTGCCAGCAAAAGAGGAGACTCACAGGCAGTTTTGGTGAGAATGGCAGGGAATGGCAGACTGGGAAACAGGGAGGGGGGTCCAAGAGACCTCAGCATGTTTACAAGAGGGTTAGTCTGCATGAGCAAGAGGGGACTCCTTTTGCAGACAGAAACTCAGGCCCAGAGAGACCAAGCCACAGCCCTCATGCCATCCAGCAGCAGTCAGTGCCAGGGTCCCAACAAGGAGCTGACAGGGGTCCTGCTGCCCCTCCCAGCCCCCGACCCTCACACACAGGGCTTCTTTCACCAGGGACGGAAGGCAAAGCAGGAAGATGGGAAAGCAGCTGTGCTGACCTTTCCCCATGCCAAGGGCTGCCCCCAGAAGCCAGGGACCTGGGAAGGGAGCTGGGAGAGACTCCTTCCTTTGGTGGTCAGGTTAGACTTCCCTGAACCGGGCAGAGCGAGGAGCCAATAGCTCCTGCCTCAGAGTAATATCCCAGTCCAGGGCCGGCTCCCAGGGAGAAGCCTCAAGCCATCGGCAGCCACAGGAAACAGCCTCCACCCGGTGGCAGCCAAACTCGGGGCTCTCCATCAGAGCCTCTGCCCACATGCCTGGCCTGGCCCAGCTGAGGCACCACGGCTTCCAGCAGCACACTCCACACTTGCAGGAAACCCACACGCCACACACCCCACATTCACACGCCGTCCAGCTGCCCGGTGTGTACCCGCCAAGGGAAGTGAGGAAAGCACACAAGCAATGAGCCCTGCTGGGGGGCCGGCGAGTACGCACACAGCCCCCCCCAGCCCGTTTCCACCAACGCTGATTCAGAGACCACACATGGCAGCCGGGGAGCCGCAGGTTAGGAAAGAAACATAAATATACCCGCATCCTATATTACATAAATACCCATGCCGGGTTATATAAATACCCATGCCCTCTGTCTGGGTGTCTTACATAAATATACTGCACATAACCCCACAGCCCCCCTCGCTCACCGGGCTGTCTGCAGAGAAGGGAACAGGGGTGCAAACCACCAGCCCTCCAGGACCCCCCAACTGCTCTGTGCCAGCCACCCAGACAGCAGGGTCTCCCCAGCGCTGGGGGCCCAGGGCCCTAGGGAGAGCCTTGTGTGTCCCAGCATCCCCCAAAGGAGAAGGGAAAGGGTTCATCCGAGAATGGGGGAAGCTTTCCAGTTCTCTGGCTGCTTTTCCCATGAGGGTGGGGTAGGGATGGGGGGAGATAAACAAAGTAAAAAAACAAAAAACAGGCAGACATGGAGTCAGGAGTTTCAGTGGGTTAGAAAATGAGACAAACTACCAACCAGAGGGCCACATGGGCAGGTTTTTTACTTCCTGACACCTCCTCCCTTCCCTAGAGGCAGGACCCTTGTCACAGGACCCTAAAGATAAAAACTGAAGGGGTATCCCAGCCCCCAGGCAAAGGAGACCCAAACGCCCGGCCCTGTACTGGAAGCATCTTAGGACACCCTTCTTGCCCCCAATCCTTCTGCCTGAGAGGTTAGGCCAACAAGAAAACATGTAAAGAAACTAAGGGCAAACTTGGGGAGGGGGGTCCCCACACCCTGAGTTTGGGTGCTTCCAGTTGGGAACCCTCTCTCTAAGGTCGGGGCACCCACAGTTTTGCTTCCAGAGACCTAGAGAACAGGATTTCTCACCCACAAATGGGAGAATCGCGTCCGATAAATAACCCCCCTTCCTCTCTCCACAAAGGAAAACAAAGCCCTTGGCCTGGGCGACCAGGCACCCCATCACCTCAGGACTCCCCTCCCGCCAGCGGAACAGCCTTGCTGACCCTGGCTCTGGGGCACCCGGGCCAGGGAGCAGGGGGGGCCGTGATGGTCCGCGAAGCCGACAGAAGCCCAGGGTTGGCCGGGAAGCCCGAATCAACAGTATCGGGCGCCCTCAGCACCCCAGTCCCTCCCTCGGCGTCCCCAAGTCACGGCCCTGAAGCCGCCTCGGCGGCCGGGGCCTTGGACAGTCCAGCGGGGGGAGGCGGAGGCGGGCGGGGCCGAGGGGTCCTCCCCCCGCAGGCCTGCAAAATAACAGTCCCCCTCCTCGGTCCCCAGCCGCGCCTTTGTCCTCGCGGGCCGAGCGGGCGGCGCCCGGAGTGCCCCCCCAGCCCCGCGCGAGCGCGCGCGTGTCGCCCTCCGCTCCCGGCAAAAACAAAGAGGCGGAGGAGCCCCGTTTCCCCCCGGGTTTGCGCCCCTCGGCGGGCCCGCGGACCCCCCATATTTACCCCTCCGGGAAGGCGCCGGTGCCGGGCCGCTGTTCGGGGGGCTGCCGCGGGCGGGGGCGGCCCGCCGGGGCGGATGCCGGAGGATTCGCGGGGCCGCCCGGCGCGCCAGCCTCTCCCGGCCCAGCCGCCGCCGCCGCCGCCGCCGCGTCGCGCCGCGCTCCTCTCCGCTCCGCTCGCCCCGGCCGGCTCAGGCTCTGGGCTCTCGCCGCCGCCGCCGCCGCCGCCTCCCGGCCGCCCGCCCCCGCCGCCGGCTCGCGCGCTCCCGCCCGGCGCGCGCCCGTCGGCTCCCATTGAGCCCCGGGCCCGCCCGCTGATGTCATCCCCGGCCCGCCGTCGCCGCCCCGGAGGATTTAAAGGGCCCGCGCCCTCCCAGTCTGGGGGAGGGAGGGGGGTAGGAGATGGGCAGCCAGGAAACGCAGTGTCCCCGGCCCCTGGAGGAGCACCGTACAGGAACGCAGCCTCGCGCCTGGGGCACGGGGTGCGCAAGCAGTCACCGCCACCGGAGCCAGCGCCAGCACCAGGTCCAGGTGGAGAAAGTGGGACGGGAAAGAGGAGGGAGCACTAGAGCGGGGTTTTCTATCCCCAAAGCCCCCTCCCGCCCTGCCAGGTTCTCTCTCCGCTCCGAAGGCCCGTGGTTATGCCTGGCACCACAAAGGAAGATGTTAGATAGTTGGGGTTCGGTGCACCTCTAGGCTGAGTGCTATGGAGAACACAGGCCCTGTTGATTCAGGGGCTGGTGCAGGCGGAGGGGTGGAGGGGTGTTGACAAAGGGCCCAGGGAGGTAGCCTTCGGGGTTCAGTTACACCTTCCTCCCGGAGGAAAATCAAAGGCGAAGACCCTTTTCTTCTCCTGCGGCTCAGACTAAGCACAGAGCAGACCCTCACTGAGTGAGCAGCCCCACGCACTCCAGCACTCCCGTGAATGCAACACTTGAGTACACATCCAGTCAAGCCACCTGCCGGCTGCGAGCTTGGGGGGGGGAGAAGACCCTGCCCTCCCTAGGTCACGGGCAGAATTAATTAAGGCTTCCTACAGGCTTCCAGCTGATGACATGTTCAAGACCGGGTTATTAAAATGATGATATTTACACTGTGCCGTGTGAAGCTCCAAATTATGACACACCTACATTCTCACACACACAATTGTGGCTGTAGACACACAAAATGCCCAAGCACACGGCAACCCAATCCCGGAAGCACATGTCCCAGGAAGACTCACTTCCATAATAACCGCATCTTCCTTCAAGCCGGAGGGACTTAGTCACACACTGTTCACACTGGTGGGAGCCCTACAGACCAGGTCCTTTTGCAGGCCATCAGAATGTGCCCAGAGAGGGCAAGGGGTTTATCCAGAACCACATAGCACACTACATAGCCCATTCTCCTAATGGTGTGTGGGAAGCTGGGCCTCAGAGACCGTTTCCAAGAGCAGGAGAGAGGAGGAAGCAGATCCCGAGAGATGATGCCTGTGGCAGTCAACTGGGACCTGCCCTCAGTGCCACCTTTGCTGGGGCAGGAGGTCACCAAACATGTGGCAGGCTTGATTTGGCCTGATGGTTTCTTCTTGGTTTTGTTTTGTTAATTGATTCCCAGTTGGCAGATTTCATATTATAGATCCAAATTCCTGACTTGTCTTGAAGCCTTGGGAGATCTAGCACCCTGGGCACAAATTCTTACTTAGCCACATGCCACACTAGCTTGGGCAGCAGCCCAAGGGCCTCATTCTGTGTCCCCACATTAGCCCAGGCAGTGGGACCCTGGTACAACTATGCCCTCTGGTCCTCACCACTGTGGCCTTCCAACCTGGGTCCTGCCTCCCAAACTTGGCCCCTCCTGGTCTACAGCACCAACTAAGCACCCTGGTAGCAATTTCACTGAATCCTCTGCAAGGACAATAAATTGAATTGTGCCCCCCGGCCTCCCGTTTACAGAAGGGGAATCTGAGGCTCTCTAGCATAGATCAACCTCACTGGAGACTCAAACCTGGAACTTGCTAAAAACCTCTCCTGCAATCCTCACCCAGACTGCCTTCAGAGAAAGGTCAGCAACCCACTGTCCCAGCTTCCCTTCCCCATTCCAGGACTTGTGGGCCTGCCTC